TCCCAGTAACCACTTGCATCTTAGTGGCATTATCGCCATCTTCTGTCTTCCTAAAACCTGTTCTTTCATTGTCCTTTCTTCTCATTAAAGTCTTCTCATTCTCTTTAATAACCCAGTAACCCATTTAGTCTTAGTGGCATTATCGCCATCTTCTGTTTTCCTAAAACCTGTTCTTTCATTGCCCTTTCACCTCACTAAAGTCTTCTCATTCTCTTTCACTCCCAGCAACACCTTGCGTCTTAGTGGCATTATCGCCATATTCTGTCTACCTAAAACCTGTTCTTTCATTGTCCTTTCACCTCATTAAAGTCTTCTCATTCTCTTTCACTCCCAGTAACCCATTGCGTCTTAGTGGCATTATCGCCATCTTCTGTCTTCCCTAAAACCTGTTCTTTCATTGTCCTTTCACCTCACCAAAGTCTTCTCATTCTCTTTCACTCCCCAGTAACCCATTGCGTCTTAGTGGCATTATCGCCATCTTCTGTCTTCCGAAAACCTGTTCTTTTATTGTCCTTTCACCTCACCAAAGTCTTCTCATTCTCTTTCCACCCCAGTAACCCATTGCGTCTTAGTGGCATTATCGTCATCTTCTGTCTTCCTAAAACCTGTTCTTTTTATTGTCCTTTCTCCTCACTAAAGTCTTCTCATTCTCTTTCACTCCCAGTAACCCATTGCGTCTTAGTGGCATTATCGCCATCTTCTGTCTTCCTAAAACCTGTTCTTTCATTGTCCTTTGACCTCACTAAAGTCTTCTCATTCTCTTTCACTCCCAGTAATCCCTTGCCTCTTAGTGGCATTATCGCCATCTTCTGTCTTCTTAAAACCTGTTCTTTTATTGTCTTTTCATATCACTAAAGTCTTCTCATTCTCTTTCACTCCCAGTAACCCCTTGCGTCTTAGTGGCATTATCGCCATCTTCTGTCTTCCTAAAACCTGTTCTTTCATGGTCCTTTCACCTCACCAAAGTCTTCTCATTCCCTTTCACTCCCAGTAACCCATTGCGTCTTAGTGGCATTATCGCCATCTTCTGTCTCCTAAAACCTGTTCTTTCATTGTCTTTTCTCATCACCAAAGTCTTCTCATTCTCTTTCACTCCCAGTAACCCCTTGTGTCTTAGTGGCATTATTGCCATCTTCTGTCTCCCTGAAACCTGTTCTTTTATTGTCCTTTCACCTCACTAAAGTCTTCTCATTCTCTTTCACTCCCAGTAAGCCCTTGTGTCTTAGTGGCATTATCGCCATCTTCTGTCTTCCTAAAACCTGTTCTTTCATGGTCCTTTCACCTCACTAAAGTCTTCTCATTCTCTTTCACTCCCAGTAACACCTTGCGTCTTAGTGGCATTATCGCCATCTTCTGTCCTGAAACCTGTTCTTTTAATGTCTTTTCTCCTCACTAAAATCTTTCTCATTCTCTTTCAGTCTCCCAGTAACCCATTGCGTCTTAGTGGCATTATCGCCCTTCTGTCTTGAAACCTGTTCTTTTAATGTCTTTTTCCTCACTAATGTCTGTTGACTAGTGTCCCAGTAACCCCCTTAGTGGATTATCGCCATCTTCTGTCTTGAAACCTGTACTTTTAATGTCTTTTTCCTCACTAAAATCTTTTCCTCTTTCACTCCCAGTAACCCATTGCGTCTTAGTGGCATTATCGCCATCTTCTGTCTTGAAACCTGTACTTTTAATGTCTTTCATCCACTAATTCTTGATTCTCTTTCACCCCAGTAACCCATTGCGTATTTAGTGGCATTATCGCCATCTTCTGTCTTGAAACCTGTTCTTTTATTGTCTTTTTCCTCACTAAATTAAATTGCATTTCTCTTTCACAAAAAGTAACCCATTGCGTCTTAGTGGCATTATCGCCATCTTCTGTCCTCAACCTGTACTTTTAATGAATTTTCTCCTCACTAAAGACTTCTCAAAACGAAAATAACAGTTACCCATCACGTCTTAAGTGGCATATCGCCATCTTCTGTGGATAAATTGTCATCCAAATTGTCCAGAATCAAATAAAATCTTCTCATTCTCTTTTTCCCAGTAACCCCTTGAAGTCTTAGTGGCATAAATTGCCATCTTCTGTCTTCCTGAAACCTGTTCTTTAATTTGTTCACCTCATTTTAAAAGATATATCATTCTCTTTGGATAAAGTAAACCCCTTGTAAATGACTTGGTAAAATGAAAATAATGTCTTTGGCTTGTTCTTCATTTTTCCAGATACTAAAGTTTTCGATCTCTTAAATTGTCTTCTAAATGACGCCAAATTGAATATCTGTCTTTAAATCTGTTTTTTATTGTCCAGATACCTCACTAAAGATTCGATGGATAAATTCCCAGTAAGCTAAATGTGTCAAGTGGCATTATCTTATTTTCTGAGATATCCTGAAACGATGTTCTTTTGTCATTGTCCTTTCACGAAATAAAATCTTCTCATTCTCTTTTTCCCAGGAAATACAAGGTCTCAGATGGATAAATTGTCATCTTTAAAACCTGTTCTTTGAAATTAACCTGCCATCTCATTTTAAATGATATACAAAGGTGCGATGGATAAATTGTTACCGCTGGTATCCAAAGTGATATTATCGCCTTGACGTGAAATGATTAAAAAAGATAGAATGCTTTCCATGGATAAGCTGTTGACTAATGTACAAAACTAAAATAACAATTGCATCTATCATTAACAGCGCGGGCTGGTATATTGTCATTTATGGGGACCACTGAAACTAACTGTGTTTCCCTCTAATTTGAGCAAATATACAAGTTTCATGGATAATTTGTTGGGTACTGTTGTTAAATGCTGGAAATTAACGCGGACATCAGGAATTTTAAAGTAAGTACATTTATTGTCCTTTTTCCGAATTCTAAATGACGACAAAAGATAAGTTCAACAATGGTATCAGGATTTAAACAGATAAACAAGATGCGATGGATAAATTGTCGTCTAAATGACGCCAAAATGAAAATAACGCTGGCATCTCATTTTAACAGATATACAAGGTGCGATGGATAAATTGTCATCTAAATGACGCCAAAATGAAAATAACGATGACATCTCATTTTAACAGATATAGAAGGTGCGATGGATAAATTGTCATCTAAATGACGCCAACATGAAAATAACGGTGTCATCTCATTTTAAGAGATATATTGCTGTGATGGATAAATTGTCAATATAAATGACGCCAAAATGAAAATAATGTTGGCATCTCATTTTAACAGATATACAAGGTGCGATGGATAAATTGTCTTCTAAATGACGCCAAATTGAATATAACGCTTAAATCTAATTTTAACAGATATACAAGATGCGATGGATAAATTGTCATCTAAATGACGTCAACATAAAAATAACGTCTTATTTTAAGAGATATATTGCTGCGATGGAGAAATTGTCAATGTAAATGACGCGAAAATGAAAATAACAATGGCTTCATATTTTAACAGATATACAAGGTGCGATGGATAAATTGTCATCTTTAAAGACGCCAAAATGAAAATAACGCTGACATCTCATTTTAACAGATATACATGGTGCGATGGATAAATTGTCATCTAAATGACGCCAAAATAATAATGACACTGACATTCTCATTTTAACAGATATATTTACCAAAATTACACAAAAATATCTTGGAATAATAATGAGTAAATTTATTCAATAAAATCGCCATCGGCTTCAACTACGGCCTCCAGATGACTTCGGAATCTCCTGCAACTCTTCTGGACGGTTTCATTGTTTAAATTGGTAGATGCTGCGATAACCCTTACCTTCAGTTCATCTTTGGTCTTACAAAGAGTTTTCTTGGTCTCTCGCTCATCTGTGTCTCAAACATAATAATCAAGTGGGGGTTGCAATCTGAGGAGTTAGTTTGCTAGATTTAAGGGGTGATGTGGTCGCAGAAATTGTCTAACAGCCGCTACCTCCTCAAGGCATTTGATCTAGAATTCCGAGTTGAGTAGGAGGCCCTTTAGGAAGATGAAGGGAGGCATTACTTCGCTTTCAATAATGATCACTCCAAACACCTTTGTAAATAACATTAGACTCATCCAAGTCTTTCCAAATCCACTACAATCCTCTGATTGACACACAAACACTCTGAAATGTTCCTATTTGTGCTTCCGACGCGAATGCCAAGCAATACAGCATGCCGTTCCCAAATTTCTGGAGTTGTGAATTGCACCATGGGGTTCTTATACTCACTTTACTGTGCAGTCGACAAAATAAAAAAAACAAACAACCCGAAATTAAAAATATGAAATGGCCACAAATTAATCATCGCACCCTGTATATCACAACGTTGAGCTTTCTCTCCAACTTTCTTAATTTTCTACAGATCTGGGTAGCATTCAAAGACGTTTGAACAGAAATCTATAGAAGGGATATATAGATTCATAGATAGATAGCCTCAGAGAAGATAGAAGATAGCAGATTTGAACAGAAGAAAGAAAGAAAAAAAGACAGACTTTTGATAAGAACTTTCAGTCATCTAATAAAGAAAAAAAGAGCTTTGTTGGTTTCTCATTCAACTGCTGAGGCCCCTAAGACAGGTAATAATAGATAGTGCCAAACAGACATTCTGGGTAAAGTGAGAGAGACAGAGAAACAAATAGATAATTAGTTGAATAGATAGATATGAATAAAAAAGACAGATAGATATAGAGAAACAAATAATAAAACGCCAGAAATAGATTCTTGATGATAGATAGATGATATGCATGAAAGTCCTGCCCTTACAAACAAACAAAACAGATCTTTCGAATAGATAGATAGATCTTGAGAGAGAGAGCACTTCCTCCTCAAAGAACTTGAAAGATCGCTTAAAAGGATAAAAAATAAAGAAAAAAGAAAAAGAAGGGTAAAATGGAAAAGGAATAACAAAAAATTTAATGAAAGTAAAAAGAAAGAAAAATAATGAATGAAGATAAATTGTTATAAAAATTGTAAATGAAATCTTTCCGAAACCTCTGAAATGAAATAGAGAAAGATTTGAAATAAAAAGCAAGAATGTTCAGAGAAAGAAAGAAAGAAAGAAAGAAAAGAAAGAAAAGAGAAAGAAAGAAAAGGAAAGAAAAAAGAATGAAATTTTAAGGCAGAAAGAAAAGCGTCGTGGTGAAAGAAAGAAAGAAAGAAAGGTAAGGTGAAGGAAAAAAGAAAGAAAGAAAAATAAAGAAAGAAAGAAAGAAAGAAAAATCAAGGTGAAAAAACAAAAGAAAGAACGAAAGAAAGAAAAAAAGAAAAAAGAAAGAAAAATAAACGTTGAAGTAAAGAAAGAAAGAAAGAAAAGAAAAATAAACACTGCCGAAAGAAAGAATTGAAAGTGAAAAGAAAGAAAGGTGAAAGAAAGAAAAGAAAGAATGTGAAAGAAAAAGAAAGAAAGAAAGAAAAATAAAATGAAGGACTGAAAGAAAAGCAGTGGTAAAATAAAGAAACCAAAGAAAAAAAAAGGAAAGAAAAAAAGTCTAGAAGGATAAAGAAAGAAAAAAAATCTTGAAAAAAACGGAACGAAAGGGATAAACCCCGAAAAGAAAGAAACATTAAAGAAAGAAAGAAAAAATCTTTTTGAAGGAAAGAAAGAAAGAAAGAAAAAAATCGTTTTTTATTGATTAAAGAAAGAAAGAAAAAATAAATGAAAAAGACGTGTTTGAAAGAAAGAAAGAAAGATTTTTTTTTCTTTAAGAAAGAAAGAAAAAAAACCGGTCTAAAGAAAGCAAAAAAGCCCTACTAAAGGAAAGAAAAAAGAAATAAGAAAGAAAGAAAGAAAAACCTTGAAAGAAAGAATGAAAGCTACCATTTTGACCAAGAAAGAAAGAAAGAAAGAAAGACAGTTTGGTTTGATTTGCTGAAAGAAAGCACATGAAAATAATCTTCTAGAAAGAAAGAAAGAAAGCTTCCTTTTTGAAATACGGGAAACGTAAACAAAGAAAAAAGAAAGAATGGAAAATTTTTTGAAGGAAAGAATTAAAGAAAGAAATAAAAACAGTTGAAGGAAAGAAAGAAAGAAACTTTAGTTACTAGAAAGAATTTTGAAAGAAAAGAAAAAATTGAAAGAAAGAAAAATCATCGAAAGATAGAAAGAAAGAAAGAAAGATAGAAAGATAGAAAGAAAGAAAGAAAAATAAGGGTGAAAAAAGAAAGAATGAAAGAAAGAAAGAAAGAAAGAAAGAAAGAAAGAAAGAAAGAAAAAAAATAATGATGAAAGAAAAAGAAAGAAAAAAGAAAAGAAAGAAAAAAAAAATAATGAAAAACACTGTGAAAGAAAGAAAGAAGGAAAGAAAGAAAGAATTACTGATGGAAGATCTACATGTGTTTGTTTAAGATATGATGACTTTGGCTAAAACTCAGATAGATATGAATAGATGAATGAAAAATAGATATATAGACAGAGAGAAGGAAGAAAAAAGAAAACTTGGGGAGTTGAGTTAAAAAGGAAAGAAATAACAAAAAATTTAATGAAAGTAAAATCCAAAAAAATAATGAAAGAAGATAAATTGTTATAAAAATTAAAATGACTTTGAAACAAAATTGTTAAACCTTCAAATATCAACTGAAGAAATAAAAAGAAAGTTACAGAGAAAGAAAGAAAGAAACGTCGTGAAAAAAGAGAGAAAAAAGAAAAAGAAAAAAAGTTCGAAAGAATGAAAAATAAGGGTGAAAGAAAAAATTTGAAAGATCGAAAGAAAGAAAGAAAGAATTAAAGAAAGATAAGGTGAAAATTGAAAGAAATGAAATAAAATGAAATAGATAGAATAGAAAGATAGATGAAAGAAAGAATAAAAAATTAAGGAAAAGAAAGAAAAAGGAAAGAAAAAATAAGGGTGAAAGAAAGAAAAAAGACAGACTAATGAATAAAAAACAGAAAGTATTCTAAAAAAAGAAAGAAAAGAAAGAAAGAAAAAAAATTGATCAAAGAAATAAAGAAAGAAAAATAAGGGTGTTTGAAAGAAAGAAAGAAAAAAGAAAGAAAGAAAAATTTTGGAAAAGAGAAAGAAAGAAAGAAAGAATGAAAGAAAGAAAAAAGAAAGAAAGAAAAATAAACAGAAAGAAAAATGAAGAAAAACTGAAAGAAAGAAACAGAGAAACAAATGAAAAGAAAGAAAGTTGAATAGAAGAAAGAAAGAATGAAAAAAACAGATAAAGGAAGAAAGAAAGAAATAAAGAAAAAAATAATAAAATTGAAAGAAAGATAGATAGGTAAAAGATGAAAGAAGAAAGAAAGAAAGAACATGAAAAAATGACTGCGACAAACAAACAAAACAGATAGGTACAAACAAAACAGAATAGATAGATAGATAGAGAGAGAGAGAGAGAGAGAGAGAGAGAGAGAGAGGAAGAAAGAAAGAACGCTTAAAAAGGATAAAAAATATAGAAAATAGAAAAGAGAAGAAAAAGTAAAAAGGAAAGGAATAACAAAAATTTAATGAAAGTAAAAGAAAGAAAAAATAATGAAAGAAGATAAATTGTTATAAAAATTGTAAATGAAATAGAAAGAAAGATTGTTAAACGGAATGAAATAGAGAAAGATTATGAAATAAAAAGCAAGAAAGCACAGAGAAAGAAAAAAGAAAGAAAGAAAGAAAGAAAAAAAAAAAAAAAAATGAAAAATAAAGAAAGAAGAAAAAAAAATAAGGGTGAAAGAAAGAAAGAAAAATAAAGGAGAAGGAAAGAAAGAAAGAAAGAAAGAAAGAAAGAAAAAAAAAATAAAGAAAGAAAGAAAGACAGAAAGAAAGACAAAATAAAGAAAGAAAGAAAGACAAAATACAGAAAAAGAAAGAAAGACAAAATAAAAAAAAAATAAAGAAAGAAAGAAAGAAGAAAGAAAGAAAAGAAAGAAAGAAAGAAAGAAAAAATAAGAATTGAAGGAAAGAAAAGAAAGAAAGCAAGAAAGAAAAATAAGGTGAAAGAAAGAAAAGAAAGAAAAGAAAGAAAGAAAGAAAAATAAGGGTGAAAGAAAAAAGAAAGGAAAGAAAGAAAAGAAAGAAAGAAAAGAAAGAAAGAAAGAAAAAAGAAAGAAAGAAAAGAAAAAAAAAAAAGGTGAAAGAAAGAAAGAAAGAAAGAAAAAATAAAAAGAAAAAAAAAGAAAAAAGAAAAGAAAGAAAGAAAGAAAAAGAATGGTGGAAAAACAAAGAAAGAAAGAAAAAAAAGAAAAGAAAGAAAGAAAGGTGAAGGAAAGAAAGAAAAAAAAAAAAGAAAGAAAGAAAGAAAGAAAGAAAGAAAGAAAGAAAAAAAAAGGGTGGAAAGAAAGAAAAAAGAAAGAAAGAAAAAAAGAAAAGAAAAGAAAAAAGAAAGAAAAAAGAAAGAAAAAGAAAGAATAAGGTGAGAAAAGAAAGAAAGAAAGAAAAAAGAAAGAAAAATAAAGAAAAAAGAAAGAAAGAAAAAAAGAAAGAAAATAAAAGAAAGAAAAGAAAGAAAGAAAGAAAAATAATGGTGAAAGAAAGAAAGAAAGAAAGAAAAATAAGGTGAAGAAAGAAAGAAAAAAGAAAGCAATAAAAGAAAAATAAGGTGAAAGAAAGAAAGAAAGAAAAAGAAAGAAAGAAAGAAAGATAAGGGAAAAGAAAAATGAAAAAATAAAGGGTGAAAGAAAGAAAAAGAAAGAAAGAAAGAAAGAAAAATAAAAAAATAATGGTGAAAGAAAGAATTGAAGAAAGAAAGAAGGAAAGAAAAAAAGAAATTGAAAAAAAAGAAAGAAAGAAAAGAAAGAAAGAAAAGAAAGAAAAAGAAAAAAAGAAAAAGAAAAAAAGAAAAATAAGGTGAAGGAAAGAAAGAAAGAAAGAAAAAAAGGTGAAGGAAAGAAAGAAAGAAAAAAAAAAAGGAAAGAAAGAAAGAAAGAAAGAAAGAAAGAAAGAAAGAAAGAAAAAAAAAAAATTGAAAAGAAAGAAAAGAAAAAAGAAAGAAAAGAAAGAAAGAAAGAAAAATAAGGGTGAAAGAAAAAAGAAAGAAAGAAAAGAAAGAAAAGAAAGAAAAAATAAGGGTGAAAGAAAGAAAGAAAGAAAGAAAGAAAGAAAGAAAAAAAAAAAAGAAAAAATAAAGGAAGAAAGAAAAGAAAGAAAGAAAAGAAAGAAAAAAGAAAAGAAAAAAAAATAATGGTGAAAGAAAGAATTAAAAATAAGGGTGAAAGAAAGAAAGAAGGAAAGAAAGAAAGAACTTACTGATGGAATGATCATGACACCCAGATAGTAAGATAGATATGCATGAAAAAACTGCCTTACAAACAAACAAAACAGATAGGTACGAATAGATAGATAGATAGATAGAGAGAGAGAGAGAGAGAGAGAGAGAGAGAGAGGAAGAAAGAAAGAACGCTTTAAAAGGATAAAAAATATAGAAAATAGAAAAGAGAAGAAAAAGTAAAAAGGAAAGGAATAACAAAAATTTAATGAAAGTAAAAGAAAGAAAAAATAATGAAAGAAGATAAATTGTTATAAAAATTGTAAATGAAATCGAAAGAAAGATTGTTAAACGGAATGAAATAGAGAAAGATTATGAAATAAAAAGCAAGAAAGCACAGAGAAAGAAAGAAAGAAAGAAAGAAAGAAAGAAAGAAAAAAAAGAAAGAAAGAATGAAAAATAAGGGTGAAAGAAAGAAAGAAAAATAAGGGTGAAAGAAAGAAAGAAAAAAAGAAAAATAAGGGTGAAAGAAAGAAAGAAAGAAAGAAAGAAAGAAAGAAAGAAAAGAAAGAAAAAGAAAGAAAGAAAGAAAGAAAGAAAAAATAAAAAGAAAGAAAGAAAGAAAGAAAGAAAGAAAGAAAGAAAAATAAGGGTGAAGGAAAGAAAGAAAGAAAGAAAAATAAGGGTGAAAGAAAGAAAGAAAGAAAAATAAGGGTGAAAGAAAGAAAGAAAGAAAGAAAGAAAGAAAGAAAGAAAGAAAGAAAGAAAGAAAGAAAGAAAAATAAGGGTGAAGGAAAGAAAGAAAGAAAGAAAAATAAGGGTGAAAGAAAGAAAAATGAAAAGAAAAATAAAGGTGAAAAAGAAAGAAAGAAAGAAAGAAAGAAAGAAAGAAAGAAAGAAAGAAAAAAAGAAAGAAAAAAATAATGGTGAACGAAAGAATGAAAAATAAAGGTGAAAGAAAGAAAGAAAGGAAAGAAAAAAAGAAAGAAAGAAAGAAAGAAAGAAAAAATAAGGGTGAAGGAAACAAAGAAAAGAAAGAAAAAAAGGGTGAAGGAAAGAAAGAAAAAAATAAAGGAAAGAAAAAGAAAGAAAGAAAGAAAGAAAAGAAAGAAAGAAAGAAAAAATAAAAAGAAAAAGAATGAAAAAATAAAGGTGAAAGAAAGAAAGAAAGAAAGAAAAATAAGGTTGAAAGAAAGAAAGAAAGAAAGAAAGAAAGAAAGAAAGAAAGAAAGAAAGAAAAATAAGGGTGAAAGAAAGAAAGAAAGAAAAAGAAAGAAAGAAAGAAAGAAAGAAAGAAAGAAAAATAAGGGTGAAAGAAAGAAAGAAAGAAAGAAAGAAAGAAAGAAAGAAAGAAAGAAAGAAAGAAAAAAAGGTTGAAAGAAAGAAAAAGAAAGAAAGAAAGAAAGAAAGAAAGATAAGGGTGAAAGAAAGAAAGAAAGAAAGAAAGAAAGAAAGAAAGAAAGAATGAAAGAAAAATAAGGGTGAAAGGAAGAAAGAAAGAAAGAAAGAAAGAAAGAAAAAAAATAATGGTGAAAGAAAGAATGAAAAATAAGGGTGAAAGAAAGAAAGAAGGAAAGAAAGAAAGAACTTACTGATGGAATGATCATGACACCCAGATAGTAAAATTTATTCGGAAATTATTTTTATATTAAACTTAAGCGTCGTGTGTTGGTTTTTGAACGTACATCGAGCTTTTCTTGACGCAAATAAGAATCGAAACAAATCGTGAGCTAAAGTTGTCTTGTTGGTAAAATACTATGCGAGGTTCACTTATGTATATATACAGACAAACAAATATGGGGTGCCCATTAAAAATAACGTTTGATTAATAAAATGAATTGACATATTCCATATACACGTGGCTCATTGGATAAAAGCGTTCGTTGATTGATCCAAAAATGACGAGTTCAATACCTGGATAGAGACGAAGGAAAATAACTTGGAGAGTTGAGTTACCAAGGGGAATTAACTAAAACTAAGATATCCATGGCATGTGGAATTATAACAATCTACTCCCGTGGACTTTGGTTCAAAACTCCATCAAATATCAACTGAAGAAGGCCGGAGCGTACAAAGACTGAAACGTCGTGAATGTGACAATAAAAAGTCATAGTTCGAAAGGTGTAAATAGGGTAAAAAGTTGTCAGATCGATAAGTAAATAATACTTCTTTAGAAAATGTTTGGTTTACGTTAGGGGACGAAAGTGAGGAGATATGTGTATTTCACGAGTCTGGGAAAGATTAGCGCTTATAAGGTGCTATTCAACTATGTATATAGTTATATGGAAAATACATATATGTGAACACGGGTTCGAATCTCACCATGGTCGATTTGTCAGAAAGCTGACATCTGGATGTTATCGTTCTGGACAAGGCATTCCCCGGATTCGGCACTTTTTGAAAGTGCCTGAAAAACATACCACGGGTTGACCCAAACCTTATGAGTGAAACTGAGTAAACGGAACCCCTGGGTCCGTCAGTGGCTGTGCTATCACGTGATTTTGACCCAGGGTTTGAGCGCGCTAGCCTTGTTCAGATTCACACGAGACAACGCGCCCATTCGCAGAAACTGTAACTAAGGTCTGCTCAGCATAGTTGGAGTATAAACCGCAGGTTGACTTTGTGGGTGTTGAACAAACACATATGTGCCTGGGAAGGCGTCTGCAATGGGGATTAGTTAACCGCCCTAGTAGACTGGCATCCTCAGATACGATTGGCTGCGCCATTTTTTCGTCTCTTTAACGCGTTTGTATCTATCTACATGAATAAATGCGAAAGTGGATCTCAGTTCTCCACAGACTTATGGGGTTAAAAGTGTCCAATTCTACCTTATAACAATTTAAACGCAGTATTAACTCCTTACCCCCACTTGGACGTGTTGTGACACAAGTTCTTTTTTTAGGTGGGGACCCAGGAGTGTAAGGACAAAAATTGCCCTCAGCCCCCGCAACCGTCGGTTGCGCTGGCCTCGGTGCGAGCACCGATCCCACCCTCTGGTGATATGGCAGGCCGCAGCTTCCGGCAGCTGTTCCCCAGGGCTGGGTACCTCTCAGTATAATTTTCTCAGTTGCCCCTCTGTCTTTTAACAAATAAGCCCCTGAGCGCACTTTGCACAAAGACAGAGACGCAACTAAGTGATGATAAGCCATGCAAAATCCCTTCACAGAGCAATTTACGCACTTATTTACTTGACCTTCCACTGCGTCAGGTTGTGACAGAAGGTAAGTTTTTAACGTGGGGCCACTGGTCTAAGCTGGTCATAGCTTGTCCGAGCTGGCCCAAGCCGTGATACCACCAGTGCAGGGACGAATCCCTACACCAGGGAAGTATCAATAGCAATTTAAACGCAAAAGCCTAAATATCTGTAATATATATTATTGGCTACTAGGCAATATCATTTAAGGTTTAACTAATTTGCATATTGAATTTTTAAAAAGCATATTTCAATAATTAACTGTCCTTCATTATTGTTCTTTTATTCAAGGATTATTTTGATTTTCATATCAAAAATAGTTCTGTTTTGGAATATTGTCTTATATAGTTCAGAAGTGTGTTGGAAATTTGCATTTTACTTGGCCTTCAACAAGTTGGCATCTATTTGTAAACTTTCTTTAACTATAACAAGCCTGGCCCAACACCCGACTAATTAATTTCTTTACAGTCATATTCTTTGAACAAATATATTGAACTTTAATATATATTCACTTTAATATTTCATTAACAGTGAATGTTTATCCCATATAAAAACAACTAATTTTTCCTACAAAAATGAACAGGTTATGTTTTTCATTCAGGCAATTAAATGTATTTTATTTCTGTGAATACCTGTTAAACATTATTCAGTTCCACTATTGTTATGATGTTAATTTGGGGTTAATAAAGACAAACGCCAAATAACATGTAACAATAAAATGGGGTTTATTCGGTTGGTAAGTTGGTACAGATATCGCCTGAGTAGTCTATAACTAACTCAGCTCAGAACTTCTCCGACACTGTCTTTTGACATGCCACTATTTAACGTCCTTGTTTGTAGACGAGTTCATCTTCAAGAGGGGTGGTAGGTTCCTACACAACAACTATACTTCATTTATTTAGAAATGGTTAAAATTTCAATGTTTAGCTATCTGAATAAATACAAATGTTTTCTTTCATGTTTACAACTAATTTATGAATGAAAGTTTCATTTAAAATTTTTGGTTCAAAGATTTCAACTAGTGAATATGTCTTACTTTGCAAATCAACAGCGAGCGAGCGAAGCCGGCTAGTTTAAAATAATAACGGTTTTTTATTAATGGAATCAGTTTTATTTATAAAAGGGGTGAATGGGGTGCGCCTTAAAAAATACGAAAACAAAATGCAGTTTACACCATGATTTTGTGACGCTCAGTTTTAAATCTTAATTTTGACGACTGTTTTAGGTTTTAAATCTTATTCACCTTTTATTATTTTTCTTTTTTTTTTAATTTTATTAACCTCCAAATACACACACTTATCCCACTAAAATTTATGCATAGATTGATTGATTGATTTGGATGTTATGAATAATCAAGAGTGGTCTCCCCTTGTTTTGTTGATCTCCTCTTTGAGAGAGCTGTTTGTGTTTACTGGGGCTATAAAAGGACACTATATGCGAACCTTGTATTCTCATTTGAATAAAACTTTCTTAAACCTGTAGGTTAAACCTGTGTACTTTTGTCATTTCATTGGTTTTTACGACTTTGAATTTGAAGCTTATTTTTGGATTGTTTGAATTCGTCATTTGTTTAGATATTAATAATCTTCTGTTAAAAGTGCTATTATTTAAACCATAGCAAGGGGAAGTAGTGAATCCATACTTTTTCCCAGCGTTTTTGCGCGTAAGTGAATAAAACGAACATGAATAGAATTCGAAATCGGTTCTCCGATTTCTCACTTTGAGCAGTTATCTATTGCACCATCCGCACGCTCAAGCTTACAGCACCAGCAGTTAGTCATCTATGTACTGACCAGTCTCAACATTGATTAACTTCGGTGGTCAGACAAAAACTGTTTTTTCAGCGTGATGTGGATCCTGACCTTATATATGAACATTTTCCGAGCGATTACTGACCAGTCTCAACTTTGCTTAACTTCGGTGATCAGACGAGAACCGGTGTTTCACCATTATGTGGCCATAAGCTTATGTATAAAAACTTTCAAAAAGGCTTCTATGTTTAAACTGCTTTTTGTCATTATACTAATTCTCATAAATTTACTACTCTAAACGTAGCCATATATATATATATATATATATATATATATATATATATATATATATATATATATATATATATATGTGTGTGTGTGTGTGTATATATATGTTTTTGTGTGTGTGTATGTTTATGTGTGTGTGTGTACGTGTGTACGTGTGGAACTCCGTTTGAAATTGAATAGATTTAAATAATATTACTAAAAATCTCAATGCTGTGCTAACAAATTAATTTACTTATTTTTGTGAAAAATGTAGGCTCCAATTTGAATTTCCACATTCATATTTTTTAACCAAAAATTTCTGAGTTTAGTAAATCTAAATTTTAGCTTCCTCGAGCCTATCTATTTTCTATAAACATTCGTCGCTTAAATTCACAAAATCAGTTTTCAGTTTTTCCGTAAACATTTATGCAGTGTTCGTTGTGACTGTCCACAAATGATTACTCTCCCCTTTCGTATAATTAATTGCTCAAACTTTCATATATTTTATCGAGTAACGTCTTGAAATAACCTCGTGATTTGAAAGTAAATTAAGCACCAAGTAAAAACATACGAACCGAGTTATATCAACAAAAAATATTGGTTGTAATATATATTATGGCTGCTTGGGTATATTAGACTATAACGGAAACAATTTATAAACCTTTTTTTTCTGTCTCACGGTTGCTAATATCGTAATCTCTTCTGGCGGTTTATGGTGGCCGAGTTGTCACTAATCCGTTGCATCTGATAAACGACTTGACAATCTTGTCTATCTTACTCAACCCACGTTGTGCTTTTTACATCCTGGAAAGGGTGTATCCGCCAAATCTGCTAGATCTCTGGAACAAACTGAAACCGACTTATTTATTATACTGCAGTAATACGACTAGTATTACTGCAGTATAATAAATAACCATAATAAATAACTTGCTAAGTAATAATGAACCCTCTTCTTATACAAAGGGACAAGTTGGTTCAATTTGATTTCAGCAATATTCACTGTTGGAATTTTGGGGTACCCTGGTGTACTAGTGAGCCAGCCAAAATGAGCTGACTCATTTTATAGTTCACCAATAGAAGGGTTAACCAATCAGAAGACTCAAAATATTTAATGCGACGTGTATAAAGGCGGCCATGTTTTTCCCGAATATGCACTGCCAGCCTTTGATAACCCGAACGAGGCTCCGCCGAAGGGCAGAGTCTCGTTTGGGGAGGTTGACTGCCCCTGAACCCGTTTATACGCGTTCGAATTGGGAATATTTTTGACCGAGCTTAAGTGCTCGGAGATCCCACTTTAATCCCGGCCTTGTGCCACATGTAACCCTCGTGGGCGGATGGCTAAATATCACTGCCAGCCTTTGATATCGAAGACTGAAGAATTACGGAACAGCTGCTG